GCCCAAACCACACCCACTGCCGTGGAGTCCATTCTGACTCACAGCGCCCCTAGAGGACAGAGTGGAACTGCACCACAGGGTTTCCTAGGCTGTCAGTCTTTACAGAAGTTGAATGCCTCATCTTTCTCCCACAGAGCAGCTGGTATGCTCAAACTGCCAACCTTTTGGTTAGCAGTCCAATGCTTTAACCACAGCGCCACCAGAGCTTCTTTTCTTGAACAAAAGTGTGGCTAAATAAGAAGTGTATGCACCTGTTCCAAATGACCGAGAAATTGCACTTTAAAACACACTTAGGAATAGATCTCATTCATAACCGGGACTGCCTGCAGTTTAGCCACTCGGTTCAATAATACCAAAAGGGAGAAAGACCAGTGAAACAACAGCTACAGGCACAAGGTAGAAACTGAGATAGGACAGAATTACATATATGTGGCAACCAACAGGACTATATCAGGTCAGCCCTATATATTTCTACATAGCATCTAATCATTTTCACATGACATCAATTTTTGTAAATGAAAAAAAAAAAGAACAGAGCAGGTTTTCCCTGCTGACACATGCTGGCCACACCCCACCTGCTTTCTAATGTCTTTGTCTTCCATCTTTATAACGTGCATGGTGCAGCAGCAGCCCTTGGGACCAAGAGGTTCTTGAAGAATGTCCTCCTGCAGCCTGTCAACACAGTTCTTAAAATGACTTGGAAAAGATGTGGAGGAGAAAGAGGAGACCCTGAAGGGAGAAGAAAGGGCCCTGTCCCCCAGGTAGGAATGGAAACCATTGGCTCACCTGATGGAAGAGAGAGCTGTGTGTCACGGGGACTCCCAGGCCACTGAAGCACATCCCCAGGACCATGTCGTCTGGAGCATCGTTGCTGTAGCACCGACACTTACTGGCAAGGAGTCTGCGGATGGCTTCTCTGCTGAAGACCATGCTGGGGACAACCAGAAGGAGACAGAGAGAGGCCTTGGGGCAGCTCCTCAACCGCCTGACTCAAGAAACAAGAGTCAGAGGCTGCACTGCTGATGGAAGATGCTGACATCAGTATGTTTGCTACTTAATAGTTTGTTGTTGTAGTGTGTGCTGTCGGTGAGCTGCTTCCAACTCACAGCGCCCCTGGAGGACAGAGTGGAACTGCCCCACAGGGTCTCCAAGGCTGTCAGTCTTCACAGAAGCAAAGCCCAAACCACACCCACTGCCACGGAGTCCATTCTGACCCACAGCGCCTCTAGAGGAAAGAGTGGAACTGCACCACAGGGTTTCCAAGGCTGTCAATCTTCACAGAAGCAAAGCCCAAACCACACCCACTGTCGTGGAGTT